TCTTTCAAAATCACTTGATAAAATTCAAAATCGTGATGAAAAATGTACAATAACAGATCAAGATGAATTTTTAAATAAAGCACAACAAGGTATAAAACGTACATTAGCCAATGCATTTCTTGATCAACATTCATCAAATAATAATCGTCGTGAACGTCGTCAAACACATCAAAGTATATAAATTTTCAAAATGAAATTTTTGAAAATAAATTTTCATAATTAATTTAGAACATAATAATATAACTTGTCGAGAATTAAGACAAATGGGTTCAACAATATCTGCTCTTTCAACTGATGAAATATCATCAATTCCTGATAATACTGTATATCAATGTGTTGATACATTTGGTTCAGTCAATGATTATGAATCAGATAAACGTCAAAGAATTGCTCAAAAATATCTTCAAGTTTAAATAAAATTATTTCAAAAAACAAAAATGTTTTTTTTTTTTTTTCATTTCTATTTTGTTAGGCATTACAAAGTCAAGGTCGACATATTCAATCATTAGGTCAATCAGAATTATATAAATTAAATTCAATTTTACCTGGTTTTACTTCAAGTGAATTATCACAATTACGAAATGAACATTTTCATGATGGAAATTTTCTTTCAGCTATTGGTAATCTTGATGGTTGGACAGGAGATCAAGTAGAAAAATTTTTCTTTCATACGAAAAAAAAAATTAATTGAAAATTTTTATTTATTTATATTTCTAGTTAAAATCTTTATCACAACTTACACTTGGTAAAGAACAACGTTTAACACCATCAATTATTGAAAATGCTGGAAAAATTTTATGTACTATTGATGAACATATTCTTCGTCTTATACCATCAGAACAAATCAAGTAAAATTAAATTATATTCATTGAGACAAAAATAAATTGTATTTTTATATTCTCATTATATAGATCTTATCTTACTATTTTGGCGAATATTAAATGTCCAACGGAAGGAGGTGTTAATTATGCATCAACAATGTTTGATATTGTTAAAAATGCATATCAAAATGATCTATTTCGACCAGATATTTTTGGTTCATTGGGTACAATTGCTGGTAAGAATTGATATATAGAAAAAGCAAAAAAAAAACAAACATTTGATTTTTATTCTTTTCTTTTGTTTTTTTTTTTTTTGTAAAGCTGGTTTAAAATCAACTGATCTTGGTTCATTAACACCAGAATTATTTAATTTTTTTCCTAAACAAGCATTATCAAGTTTACCAAAAGAAGTTTTTAAATCATTTAGTAATGATCAATTACAAAATTTAAATATTGAACAAATTAAAAGTATACCAACTGGTTTACTTAGTGCATTAAGTGGAAAACAAATGTCAATTCTTAATCAAATACTTTATCCATTTAAAACATCAGGTTAGTATTTGAATGATTTTCTTTTTTTCTCTTCTAGAATTTTTGTTTGTTTTAAATAATTTTATAAATCTCATCATCAATATAGACGAATCTATCAATTTCATTGAAAAATCAACTAGTAGTGATAATGTATTGATCGAGAGTGGTATGAATATATAATGAATTCTATGCATGAAAAAAAAAGGGGGGGCAAACAAATCAAACTCGATTCGATTCTTCTTTCCTTTTGAGTTAATTTAAATCTTTGTAAATTTTTGTTTTTGAAATAAATAAATTATACAATGTTTTTCTTTTCTAGGTGCAATCATGAAACATACATATTCAAACGCAATTATATGGATTTTATCTCTAATTTCAATTATTTTTATTTATCAATTTAATTCAGTTTGAACTATATAAGAGAAAGACAAAGACGATCATTGCTTAGCAATATTTCTTCTTATTTTATTTTTTACATAGTATAGCATGTTTGTTTTGTTCAATTTCTTAATATAATGTTTACGTCTGTCTATGTGTGTGTGTGATGCTAAGGCTTTTCTCTTTTTTCATATCTGTTAGAACAGTATGTGGCTTCTTGTTGCTTGTCTATTGACTAAAGAAAATAAATATCGTGCTAGTTAGAAATGTTATAATTTACGAGAAATTATATGTTTTTATTTTGATGATTATTTTTTCTTATAGTGAAGGTTAAAAAATATATTGTGAATACAATCAGAAAAATCAAGGTCTAATAGTCATTTATATTTAATGTGATAGAAAACATCCAACATTATTGATGCATGAATTGTATGAATACAATATTTAGGCGCATAAATGCATGAAACAAAGAAATGAGTAAAAATAGACTTTGCTCCAAGCAAATATTTGCTTGAGGAAAATAACAAACAATAATCTTTGAACGCTTTAATTTAAAAGCTGGTCAAAATACTTTAAGTCCTCAAAATGAATATCAACTACTTTTATTCTTGATAATAATTTACAAACAACAACTAAAAAATGATATAAACATGCGTTTTGCGTATTCTATCACTCACCAGTTGTATTTTTCATGTAGCGATGATGTATAAGATATGAGATTTGACAATGAATATGACAAGGTTAAAAAAAAAAGTAAGATATCATATTCTGTAAATTGATATCTCTCAGCACTAATAAACTTACATTGATAAGACATTATTTTTAATCAATAAATATAAATAAATGAAACTATATGTTTTTTTTTCTTTGATATCACAACCGAATGTCTTGAGAGAATTTACCTTTCAATTCTACACAAATTGGTGAAAAAAAAACAAGAAATCTGTATCAGATTTAATTTATCGATAGAAGTACCGTTTATTCCTTCTGTTGTACATCGTAGAGTCAAATACAACTATTCATCAATAGACAAACCTAGAATTATGTTTAGATAGACATTTATTCTCTGAAATATATGCAATGATTTAATTCAATTACGACAAAAAAAAGAATTAAGATCATGTTTCTCTTGTGATGCTATTAAGAACACTAAAAGTTTTATACTAGACTTCAAAATTTAGATACAAAGCAATGGATCAAGTTACTTCATTAAAATTGATTGTATCTATTTTCATTATTCTCAAATTTTGATTGCATTCTATGTATGAATTACCTTACTTAGGTAAATATGTTCAATGTAAGATTATTTTTCGATTATATTTTTGTTTTTATCCAAAATCAAAATGAATATTAACAATAACATATGCCGCTAAGCGATATAAATATGTTTTCAACTTGGTTACTACTCAACACTATCAAAAATCTTGAGTTAATTTACTCACCAGTATTCTACAAGGTATTCGACAATAGTATGATATGCTTTAAAAAATCTACAGTGCAGTTGTCAAACTGATTTATTCGATGAACTTCTCATATTAGACAGAGAATTTCATATGCTAATCCAAATGAGCTATATTGATCTTCATGTAGGTTTATTTTGATGAATGCAGATGATATGCTTTTCTCTGTTTTTCCATGAAACGATTATACTAAATTGATCTTCGATCTATAATTTTGCAATTATTTGTAAATCAATTCTGATATATCATCTTCTAAATATCAAATTTTTTTTCCATAGAATTAAATACAATCAATTTTTTAAATAAAATTATTTGTTTAACGTGTATTTCAAAGAACAAAAGCTACAAACTTATTCAATTGTGTTCCTTTATTTTAAAACATTTATTTGATATTCATTTATCTTACCAATGAATTTTTTTTCAAATCGACCAGATACATCTGTATGATATATGGAAGTTGATTTACATAATTGACTTTGAATATCATTTTTTATCATCATATTTAACATACGTCTTCTAATGAAAGTGATGAAACTAATTAAAGTCGATCTTACACATTGACTCTTTTTCAGATATATATATTTTCATAGCACATAATTTCAATCGAAATCCAACTTTAGGTTTGTCGATCCATCGTTCGAAAACTATTCTAACAGTTTTACATGACCAAAATTTGACGATCCATAACATTAGGATGAATAAATATGATGAAAATTGCTTGCCTCTACAATATCACACTAATAAAGAGAATATTTAATACCTTTGGTAATGATAATTGATTGTTTTTCTTGTTTTACACATTCGAAAGATATGATATTGTAGCATTCTGTTTTGATTTAAGTTTCTTCTGAATTGATAAATTTTTAACATTGCTAGTAGTCCTTAAATAACACTTACCATTCATTTGAAAATAACTATTCGTTCATTCAAACCTATCAAAAGAAAATTATTCTTTAATCTTATAACAAAAACTTATAAATGATCTCCAAAATCTCATCATATATATTTAAGAAAATTCCTTAATATCAATAAAAAAGTTAGATTGAATATGTCTACTCTTGACTCTTGTTTGAACTTTAATAGATTTCTACTAAACTTGCACATGCCAATGCATTTTTTTTTTTCTAATTATGTTTATTCATCTAACACATATATTATTTATTGTACAATTATTTACACTTTCTTTATCAAGAGATTTACTAGATTTTCGCGACTAATATGTACAAAACATTTTATAACAGTATTGTAACACATGGCAAAAAATCAATAAATTTGTTCTAAAAGAAAAAGGATATTAAAAGTTGGCTCAAAATATTTTGAATTCTAAGATGATCAACATATTTATCAGCCAATCTAATATCAACATCGTTCGATTACTAAATATGGCTGCATAGATGAGTGTAAAGTTTTCTAAATGCATGCGTCTTATAATAATTGTTATGTTGTTTTATACTTTAATCATAAGAGTACTTGTTATTCAAAGGAAATCTTTCGTATTGACAAATTCTTTTCATCTCATAATATTTTTTTGCATCAACATGTTTATCAAGTTTAAATACCTAAAGGTAATCTTTAATATGCAATCGTTTCTATTGAAATAGTATCAACTGGTATAGCCTATCTAATTAATGTAATGCCATATGCATACATATATATATAGATGCATATGTGTCGCAAAAGAATTATTCTATTGATATCTTTGTTGTTTGTAAGGATGAAAAACTCCATGATGCTATGTATGCTATTCATGACTCTCGTTTTGGTTGTCTACTCCGAAGCAATATATGACAATGATGAGGAATCATTTCGAATGAAAATTCGTCAAATAGAAGACGACGACGAAGAAGAAGAAAATGCTCCATTTAATAATTCAGAAGATGATGATAATGATGAAAAGATCGAAAATGTTCGTCGAAAATTTTCACCATGTGAACCTTGTGGCTTGTTACGTCGTTCTTGTTGTTTTCCAAATTTATGTCAACATCGATCTGGTCAAATAAGCCAATGCCTCAAAGTATAATTATATTATTCAAAAAACAAAACTATTTCTACTAATAACATATATGTATCAAATTTCTGTACGCCTTAGAAAGCAAAATCAAACAGTTTATCATCTTCGAAACGATGTTTATATAATGTGAAATTTTTATTTCATAATAAAAATCGAGAAAAATTTTATAATTAACATCTTTAGTTATACATATATTTTTATCTTTAAGATTTGAATCATATTAACATATATGTCTTTATTACATCAACGAGACAATTTCTTGTTTAAAGTCTATGAAATCCAATCATCAATAGATAATATTTGATAAAAAGTAATGAAATTTGTAATAGTATATAAACGATAAGTGTGATAATAGTTCCACTACAATTCAGAGCTCAAGATGACGACTAATCGAATATTATGAGTACATTGCTACGCATCGTAAAATCAATCTGAAAAAGAGAACTTATAACTAGCAGCTGCAAAAATGTTTGATTCGACGTACTTGTAGTTATATGCATGTTGCTAATACTTTCTCCATCTGATATTAAATGGTTAACGATTTTTCCTACTGTTCATGAGTAATATATCGATTGTTCAGCGTAACATTGGAAAAACATGCATGATGCATTGTGCAAATTTATCAAACAGAAATTTGATAAAATGTCTTGTCCTAGATGACCTTTAGCTCAATTGATTTGCATAAAGAAACTGAAGGTAAGCACAATTGTTAAAAGACTATTTAGCAAGATTTTGTAATTCTTTTTCCAATTGTCAATCGAAATTTGAACTTATCTGAAAAATTTGTAAAATACTTGAACGAGTGATACTGTAGATAAAAATACGGTAACCTCAACGTTCATTGAAAGTAAGAATTCCCAAAAAGAATTCTATGATAATAAAAAGTAAAAGTCAGAAGGACTATTTCGGAAAATATCACTATTGCATAATCAATATCAGCTTATTAGATGTATGATTCAAGAGAACACATACTCATCCACACCCTAATTGCAAATTATTATAATAGAATAAATTCTTGTATTTATTGAAATCACACAAATATTTACAATTCAATCAATTTTATAAAAGCAGAAGAAAAACATGTACAAAATGCAATCATCTTCTGGTTCATCGAAGCAGAAAAATAAACTATCAAGAGCATTGTCAAATTAAATAAACATGTTGTATAATCAATATAATAATTATTTTATTACATCATTGGATCTCTCTCAACAGCTTGTCTTTTATTATAAGATAAAAAAAAACATATATGAGTGTACAATAAGAACATTATCTAAGATTGATATATTAATATTTCAAAGTAGATTTTGCTTGTCTTTCATTCTTTCTTTTTTAATATAATAAACATTTGATTCGAATTTATCTGCTCGAGTTTCTTTTAATTTTCTAAATGAGAAAATATTCTCAAAAGATTTCTCTTCAGTTGTCGACATTTTTTACTTTCAATCAATGTTGAAACAATCAAAAATATGTCGTATGTATTTCGTTAAAGGAACAGAATACAATATATATATATACAACATAAAAATAGAAAATAACTACTAAATACTTTTAGTTTTTGTTAGTATAGGAACAATCAATTAATATTAATTACAGTTAAAATACTAAAAATAGAACTTATCATATCAACACAAGTTCCTATTTAAAAGAAAATTGATTCGTACTCTTGCAAGTTACCTGATGTATTTCATTAACAGTAGGTACAATAGAGTATAACATTTTATTTATATTCTTTAGCAACTTTTGTCTAATATTTTATTTTTGTTGGTATAAAAATAGAATAAAACTTTTACGACTACTTGAATATTAATCTATTTTTCAGAATATCTAACTAAAAACTTTTGAAAATATATTCTATCTTATTTTGTTGTTAGTTGTTTATGAAATAACTTTTGACGAACGAAAGAATTTATCAAAGTTTTTTTCAAAATTCTTAAAATATGTAATTTGACACACGTCGTAAAATTGATAATCTAAAAATCTTTTTATTCGAATCGAACATATACTAACTATCAAAATTATCCAAACAGTAGATTATTTTTATTTTGTATATCTTAAAACCTAGATGAGATAGAACCATCTGGTTTTCATCAGATTACAATCCATAATATCTCGTATACTAGGAAAAGAATCTAAGTCAAACAATTGACCTATTTAATGTTTGTTGACGATACAATAAAAGTATGTTGTTTTTCATATGTCCCAAATTATCCAAACCCTTATTTTGCCAACTGGTACACATCTATTCTAAGTATAAATTATCTTTACGATATATGATTCAATGAAACAACTTGTACTCTACGTATGGAGTACATTTTGTTGTAGTCTTCCATTGAGTATGGGTTTAAAAATAATGGTTTTTTAGTTTACATCGGAATTTTTTAATAATAAAGCGATGAAAGACTTTTCTCATATAATGTTTAACTAATTTATTGTTGAACATAGTATTAACATCTGAAATATTCTACTTTTATTGATAGTTCATGTTGGAAAATTATGTTGACCATTTCCTATGTACAGATAAATCACAAGTAGACTTTCTTGTACGATCTTATTTATGTATTGAAGGAGGTAGAAAAAATTGTTGTAAGAGCATGAATTTGTAGCGAATCTTTATTCATACAATATGGTAATATTTGAAGTCAAAACCGGTTGTATCACTTAAGTTCTATACCTTTGTTACGTTATAAATAGCAGAAGTAAAAAGTTCAACGTAATTCCAGCAGTAAACTCGACATGTATCCTATCAAGCAAAGATGTATCAAATAAAGTTTGAAATAGTACGTTAGTTCTAAATTTTGTCCTCTATGTAAATAAACACGACGTGCAAAAATTGGTTATGTAGTATTTAACGAAATCTGCACTTATTCTATTGCTAGAACTACGGTAAACTACTTACTCCTGCTAGTTATAAAGCAACAAATAGAAGAATTCGTACGAATAAAGATTCCCTAAAACTCCACGCTATTACAAGTATTTTTAGACTTCCTTCAATGCATGAATAAGATCGTACAAGTAGATCTGTCTGTGATTAGCCTACACATACGGAACAGACAACATAACTTTCCAAAATTAATAATGAATCGACAGTATTAGAATATCTAGTGCGATTTGTATTAGTGTTGCTAATGCTAAATTGAACAATAAATTGGACAAAACATCATATAAAAATAGTCTTTTGTTTCGTTTTTATTGAAAGTTTTCGATACAGGCTATAAAGAAACATTATTATTAAACTCATATTTAAAAGAAAAGCTACAATAGAAAGTACTTTTTCCACATAGAGCACAGCTTGTTCTATTGAATCATGTATTATTAAGTTAATTTAAACTTAGAATAGATGCGCGTCAGTTTGCAAAACAATGTCGTTGGATAATTTTGAAAGGATACAAAGTGACATAATAAGATTCTATTGTCAATAAAAATTAAACAGGTCAATGGCTTCATCTAAACTTTTTTACTAGTTATGCTAAAGACTATAGATTGTTATCGGATGAAAACCAAATGATTTTAGCTTATCTAATTTTTAAGATATAGACAAAAAAATATAAACTAATCTGCCAGTTGGACAATTCTAGCAGTCTCCGTATAAATTAAGTACATATTCTATTGACAATAGTATTAAAATTTATCTTAGTTGTTTCAATCAACATTCGACACATGTGAACTTTAGATAAGAATAATCTTTTAAAGGGCTTTGTATTATCTGCATATTTCCCTTGATATGCAAAACTCACCTTAAGAAATTTAGTCATGGCTTTTCTACGTTCTATACATTTGAAATTATAATTATACTCAAAAATCACTTTAAAGATGAAAGTTACTTTGCATTAACTATTTATCTTAAACAAACATTGCAATTTTCTGGCAAATTACATGATGAAAGTGTGTTCTCGTTTTGCCGATTCTTTCGCTAGGATTCGAACAGACGTTACGAGTTGTGCTTAGACAGTAGGTTCTGGTTTACATATTCATAATAATTAATAAATCTTGAAGCATTATGATTGAGTAAATTTGTTTCTGAAATCAAGCAATATAAGATTCAATGACTATTTTATAAATATGCGATTAGAACAAGACAAATTTCAAGTTTATATGAAATTCCATCAAGTGCAAATGCCGTGCTTGTTTTTCTTTTCTTTTTTTGTATAAAATAATTCATACTTAGTTATGTTGTTATCTGTTTATTTGACTCGATTTCTGTACAAGAATATTTTCTCCCTCGAATATACATAATTGATACTATTTATATTGATGAATGACTCGTTTCTGTCGGTTGCATATATTTTATGATCATATCTATTCAAATGAAAGGTTATTTAAGTGCATACTATACTTGATAGTAGATAGTTGGGCTTGAAATATAACTTTATATATAGAATCGTAAACAAACATTTTTCATTTTGATTGTTTTATCGATAAATAATCAGCTTTTACGAGTAATATTTTTATAGTTTATAGAATAGAAAGAAAAAAAAACAAAGACAAAGGCTTATGAAGGCGTATCTTAACAAACTAAAAAAAGAAAATACGACGGACAAATTTAACAAACAAAAATTCATTTATAAAAATTTTCTCCAAACTAATAATCTAATTATTCAAAAATACAATCAATAAACTTCAACCATTATTGATATATGTGCAACATATAATGATAACGTTTTTTCCATTTCATATACTATAATATACAATAATAAAACATTCATAGTGCTTAACGATTGATTTGTTTTCTGATATTTAGACAATTTTATAATGATATTTCAAGACTTTTTTTGTCAAGAGTATATTGAAATGTCATTCATTCATCATAATAATATGCTTGATATTGTCCAATAATTATATATAGATCATGCCTCTTGAAATTGAAAAAGAAACTACCAACGATTATATGTGTTAACAAAAGATATGATGATTATATCATCTGCAATATATACATGACGAAAACCAAAAAAAGAATTTTTCTTGTTGATGTTTAGAGTTACCTATGAAAGAATGTAAAACAAGATATTTAAGTATCCGTTTAGTGAATATGTAGTAGTATTGAAGGTAGTGTCAAAAATGTATTCAATTTTCTGGTATTATATAATATCAAACAATGGAATTCTCTTTTTTTATACTGAAAGAATACCAACTTGAATGTCACTATACCATACAATAAACTATTTGCTAGAAGAGATTTAGTTTATTATTAAAAACTAAATATTTCCGATTTCGATTTTATTGAAATGTGTTTTCTTAAATAATCAATTTGATTAATATTTGATTATGAATATTTTAAAACAAAAGAAAACCTTAATCTAGGATTGCATATGAAATAATAATATAATAATTCGAAATTTTTAAATTATTATTTTCTACTTTTTTGTGACTAAGTGTCAAATTTTTTTATCTTATTTTGCTTTCTATATTCTCAATATATATATGCGTGTATGTGTGTATTTATTCATGTTCTCCTCCTGCGACTACCGAAAAAACGGTAGATAGTTATTCTGTGTTTTTTGTTCTCTTACTCTCTTTCTTCATCGTTTTCTTTTGGTTGTACTTTTCAATATTATTGACTGGCCGACGGCTTAAGTGGTGTCACGACCCATACTCGCTCTTACTTAGTTGCTAACATATTCAACTTCAATAGTTGATGAATTTTATAGTTTTTGGTTTATATCAATCAATAAACAAGAATTTACAATTAATTTATAATGCTTCGTATTCAAAAAATGAAGCGTACAAGTTCTGGATATCATAGTCATCGTAGTGGAGAACAGGTATTTCAAATATGTTTTTTTTTTTTATCAATATATAGAACAGATCACTTTTCATGTTTTTTTTCTCTAATGACATTGATTTATTTACTATGTAAAAAGATAAAATATGATTATTTATTGATGCGTACAAACACGTGTTCTTCTTACACATATGTACGCAGAAAATAGAGAAAAAAAATCAAAGAAACAACAGCACATGATCTTGTTGCGACGTTCGATACTCTGTTTGCATGGATGTGTATGAAGTAAATTCGATTAGAACGAACGAAAACAACATCGTAATTCACACCTGCACCCTTAACCTTCATTTTTTTTTCGAGATAAACATCAATGCATTCTTTTTAAGCATACTTACAAAACATAGCATTATATAGAAAAAAGGCAACATCTGCTTGTTAATATGCTTGGCTAAAGTCCAAAAAAATAAAGAAAAAAGTTTCTTTTTCTTCCATTTGTTTTGCTTCATTTTTATCGGCGTAGTAATAGTCAATTGATGTCTACGTCAAATGTCTTTATTTCATTCATTTTTTGTTCTACAGTTTCATCTTTTCATTATCAATAGTATTATAGTTCCTAATTAAAATGTACAACATTGACATGTATTGTTTCTTATTTTTGACTTTATGACTTCATTGTAGCATGCGACAAAGTCCAAAAAAACAAGAAAAAGACAAATCTACGTCATCCATTTATTCAAATATTTCTTATCTTATCCATGAATGAATTTATTGAATGATGATGATGGAAAAAAGAACTCACCTGCCGTTGTCGCCGGTAGGCATATCATTTTGAAAGATAAGAAAACCATAAATGACTGCACTTTGAGAGATGTTTTGTTGATATCAGTTTTTTAATCTTTTTTTTTTTTAAGAAACTAATTATTCTAGCAAATTTTTTTGTCTAATAAATAACTTCACAATACATTCATTATCGAATATATAAGAAAATATATTGAATTACATTGTGAAAATACGAATACAAAAGATTATATCTAATACTTATGGTACCTAATTGTGAGACAATCATCATATGTCGTACAGACTATGAAAAATGACAAAGAAAAAAACGGGAGCTTCGAACAGCTGAGTGATTCTTTCTTCTCTTTCATTCTTCACATGTACGCCACCTACGAATAGCTTAAAAAATGTATGATACTATTCGATCATCGTCGTCGCGTATGTTTTTCTCTCTCTCTCTCTTTCTATCTATTCTTTCACTCTCTCTCTGTATGTATTATACAGTTATAATACTATCAACGAATCTTATTCAGTTTCCGCTGCTGTCTTTTGTTATATGAAAACGAATACGTAGTTATTTTCGAGAAACATTATACAAAGAAAATAGAGCAAGACAAGGACATTCTTCTTTATTCTGTCAAAAACAAAAAAAGAACAAGAAAAGAATTTTTCTCAATGAATATTTTTTTTTTTTGTGTTTCTTGTCACGACATAATTCATATTGAACAATGAATCAGGACAAAGAAGAAACAGTTATTTTTGAAGAAGAGGTGAGATTAATTAAAATACATAATACTATATATATATATTTCTCAAAAAGAAAACAAAATAACAAAAAAACTAACAATTAAATTTATTTAATTTTTTTCCAGGGTAAAGATGGAGGTGTTGCTAGTGAAACAACAAATAGTGGTTCAAATAAACCTCAAACACAAACTGATAATGATGACGATGATGATGAAGATGAACCTGTTTATATTGAATCAAGTCCATGTTCTCGGTGGCAAAAACGACGTGAAACAGTAAAATGATTTCTTTTTTTATTCATATTTTTATTTAAATATGAAAACAAAAAAAAATATTTTATTTCAAAGGTTTCTCAACGTGATATTCCAGGTATTGATGCATCTTATTTAGCTATGGATACTGAAGAAGGTGTTGAAGTTGTTTGGAATGAAGTTTTATTTTCTGAAAGAAAAATTACTGATATACAACATGTATGTTAAATGAAATATTTATTTTCTTTCTTAATTATAATTTATTTTATTTTGTTGTTGTTTTTTCTTTTTTTTTTTTTTACCATAGAATAAAGTCAGTGAAGTTTTTAATAAATTAATCGATTTACATCATATGAATATCGTTAAATTTCATGATTATTGGCAAGATCGTACGAAAAATGATGATCGTCCACGAGTAATTATATTTTAAATGAAATAACGAAAAAAAAAAAAAATAATAAAAACAAACAAATTCGATAGTTTTTATTTTCAATTTTTGTTTATTGAATATTTCTTTCTAGGTTGTGTTTATAACTGAATACATGTCAAGTGGTTCTTTAAAAACATTTTTACGTAAAACAAAAAGAACAAAACAAAATTTATCAAAAAATTCTTGGCGACGATGGTGTATTCAATTATTATCAGCACTAAAGTATGTTTAACAATAGTAATAATAATAATTATTTTCTCACATTATTTCTTCATTACATACAAACAAACATACTCTAAAAACTATTTATTTTTATGTAGTTATTTACATTCATGTGACGAACCTATTATTCATGGTAATCTAACTTGCGATACAATTTTTATACAAAATACCGGTCTTCTAAAGATTGGATCACGTAAGTTGTTTTATTTGAAAATGATTTTTTTATGCATGGTAAAACAGATCGATATAAAAAAGATAATACTTATATCTATAGTACATTATCCTCAGTTGAAAACCTTCGCTGATTTGGGCGTCGGTAGGTTTCTATCATTTGATGTTTTCCATTTATGCTTATCTCTTGTTGCTCAGCTGTTACTAATTAATTTTAAAAAGAAAACGAATTTAATTATGCATTGTCAATTTTTATATTTCAAAATCAAAACAAAAAAACAACTATTCATGAAGATTTTTATTTATTTATATAGTTGCTCCTGATGTATTACATCGTCATGTAAAAAGTATTTCGGATCCATCAGCAAAACATTTACATTTTCAAGCTCCAGAAATTGATGATGGTCAGTTAATGAAGAAAAGCAAAAAAAAAAAAATAACGAGAACGCAAAATTTTTTATCAAATTATTTTTTCTTCTAGAATTAAATCAAATTACAACAGCAGTTGATATATATTCACTTGGGATGGTAACACTTGAGGTATTTTCTTCTATCTTTTCTTTTAAATTTAATATCTTTATTTCTAAACAAGAATTTTCGGAATTACTCACTATGTGATTATATACGCATGATGAGAAAGAAAAAACGATAATAAAGGGACATTCTAAAGCATTATACGAAGTACTTTTGAGATTGTTTTTTTCCATTATTTCACTTGATTGAGCGACTAATCAATAAGTGAATCTATACTTAGAACAAGGCTAATTGACCATTATTAAAGTTAAGCTATGTTATGTTTGCAAAAAAAAAAAAAAATTTTAATATCCTGCAGATCAGTTCAGTAATTGTGAAGTATGAAAAAATAAAATTAATATTAATTACATACTAAGTCTTAGAAAAAAGAATTACGTTTCTTTTTTCTTTTTCGATAACATAGTCAATGAAAAAAAAACAAAACAGCAACAATGTACAGATATTTATAAAAAGTGATACATGATTAGTGGATTCATTAAAATTTCTCCGGTAAAAAAAGAGAATTTGACATAGGATCAAATAAATAAGCGGATTATTTTGAAATCCTCTTGCTCCTTTAAAAGACGCTAATTTTCATTAGAAACATGGAAATCATGGTAGATGTGTGCAACGCTAGCTGTAGATATGATTTTTCAAAATCATTGATTTCTATCATTTTCTTCCAGAAAAACTTATTTTTTCCATAAGGAAAATTTTTATTCTGAATTTCAAAGATGTCTTGACAAATTTTACTACGATTCAAAATAGAAAAAGCTTTGCCAACATTTAAAAGTAACTAACTAACCAATAAATACATATTGAGAAGAACTAAAAAACAGGAAAATATTGTACAATTGCTATTTCAAAAAACATCTTTTTCAATTTTTTTTTGTTGACTTTTTTCTAATCATGCATTCAAAACTTCTCATAGAACTTGAATTATAGCCGATTATTTTTTTTTCTGCTACAAAAAAAGCATGTTAATATGCTCACAGAACAGAATTCTTTCTTTTTTAAATAAAATTATATGTGTTTATTATATTGACAAGCTCTTCTATAAATAACTCTTCATTTTTAAGTATTTTTTTTTTGAAACATCGAATTTTATCACCGTTTTCTAACACATAAGAAGTAAAAATTAAGAAAAAAGATTCTACAATGCTTTACATCTTGACATATTCTTTCAAGCAAAAGAAAGATTAAATATATAGAATTAGGATCCCTAGAGAATTTACATTGCTAAATTAACAACTTTTGACATTTATTTGATGAATATCTCTTTAAAACTGCATAGTTTAGAGGTAAAATCTGTCGGATTCAAAATTTTCGAACTCAATCAAATCGTATTATTATTACTTTCAATGAAGTTTTATAATCGAAATGAATAATTACCACGAAAATACAAGATAATTTGTTTGTATTCAATAACTAGTGCACTTTACTCATTTCTCGGACAAGTAGAGCATATTGAGTTTAAAAGTTTTTGACATGAATGAATCGGAGACCAATTCAATGGTATATACATAGAACTGAAAATTTGATTATATTCTCAATATCAAGTAATTTGAATATATCTAGCACAAAATCAATTTTGAAGTAAATGGAACGTATAAATCGGATAAAGTTTTGAATAGTATATAATGATTTTTGTTTACAAGAAGAGATACAGAATTTTTATTAACTGATTTCATTGGAATGATTAAAAAATATTTAAATATTAATATTTTAAGATGATCAATCTTGATCTCGGTGGAAATGGTGATACACATGCAGTAACAGACGATGTTGTGAGTGAAGCTATTGAAACTCTTGATAATCCTCTTCAAAAAGTAAAAACAAAAAAAAAAAAATGTGCTCGTAAAATTAATTATAAAAACTGAAATTTTTTTTTTTTTATTTATTTAATAAAGGATCTTGTTTTAAAATGTCTCGAAATCGATCCATTGAAACGACCAACAGCACGTGAATTACTTTTTCATCCAGCTCTATTTGAAATTCCAACATTAAAACTTTTATCTGTTCATTCATTAGCAGATGATATTCGTAAGAGAAAAAAAAAAGAAAGAAAATAAATAAAGTTCTTTTTTTTCTTATTATTTTTTCAATAAAATAGGCTCAAAACCAGATCGTTCATTTGTTTCACCATTTCATCATTCTATACCAAATGATCAAATTTTTGCTGAATCAGAACCAATTCGAGAAAGTGTTAAACCGGTTATTTTTACGTATGTTATTTCATATGATTCAATTATAAATTTTACATATCAAATTTTCTTTTTCTTTTAGTTATAAAGATTGTCCATCATTTGATTTAGATAAACTTCTTGAAGATGTTCAAAATGGTTTACATCCTATAACAGCTTATCATCTATTATTTCCAACACATAGTACATTAAATCTTTCAACAAAATTAACAAATACAGATAGAATTTTAACAGCATCATCATCATATTCATCATTAGCTGCATCAACTTTAATAAATACTGATACAGATTTAACAAATTCTGCACAATCAACAACAGATTTATTTATTAATTATCCAACAAATACAAATGATTCAAATTTAACAACATTAATCAATGGAATTAAATCACGTATTGGTACAACAACATTTGAACGATCTATATCAGGAACAAATGATAATGAATATAATACTAATGATTCAATATCAACATTAACTAATAATAATTCGTCAACAACATTATTATCAAATACTGATGAAAGAGAATATCGAAGAATTATGGATATACAATGTAAACTTAAAACAAAAGAATCACGTTCATGTTTGGTAAATAATATTTATTTGAATTTAATTTATCAATTTTCATGATATATTTATTTAGTTATTTATTAGTGTCAAATTTCAAGATCGATTACAACGTGATATGACAGCAGAGATTTTTTTAGATGAAACACCAAATAATATAGCAAAAGAATTGTTGGAACTCGGTTTAATTCATGAAGTAATTATGTTTTTCTTAGAAATACACTTTATATTTTGTATACACATCTTGATTCATAAATTTGATTTTATAATATTAAGTACCTAGCTCAAATTCAAATAGTAATTTTAAATAGACAAGAGAATTTTCTATCTAATGCATTCTATACTAGATAAAGTATGATGTCAAGCTTTCTCATAAATTGAACACTGTACTTTTCAGATTGCAGAATATTTTTTAGAGGTATTTTTAAACAATGGCATTCGTCGGAGCATAAAATGAGTGATCATCGCATTTTCTTCGACTTTCTCTTAAAAAGTAAATGATATTACAAAAAAATCGAAAAAAAAATGTTGTTTAGTTGATTGTTATGGTTCTGTAATATTTTTCACTGTTTAAAGGAAGAAAGTAGAAAATGTGGTAATTTGTCATTGGATTCAAAACTTTGTATTCTTTAAAATGACATTATTAAAAAATAGTTCTAATAAAGTCTTATGAGACCTGAAAACTACCATATCCGTTTGTTTTTAGGAATCTTGTCGTAATAGTTCATCTAGAATAGAATGCATTACAGAGAAAACTTTATTCAATATAAAAATCACTATCTTACTTTGAACTAGAAGCTTAATAAAATAAGAAAAAATCAAAAATACGTTGTTGTGAAACTTTTTTTCCCCATCATCTTCATAGTTTAACAAAATATATTTCGAAAGAAGATGTCAAATGTTTTTATCTGTTTTGAGAAATTCTAGAATGATTGTTGTATATATTAATGTGAAAATAGTTTCTATATTATTTAAAATTATTTATTTGGAATAGAAATGCAAATTTTTATGACAATTTGCTCTTGTAAAAAAACAAGTCAACGATACTGTTGAATAAATATATTGAATTTATCTCTATTCGAAGCATAAATACGATTATGAATATAATTTAATAAAAATATTGCTTCAAGGTACAATATTCTTAATTAATACTATGGGAAAAAATAGAAGAATACGCGCAATAAAAAAGAAATATGAGAATGAGAAATAACAATTGTAAAAATGCAATTTTACTAAATAATCTAAGGTTAATTATAATGTTAAGAAGAACGAATTTCTAGTTTTTAGTCTTAGTTCATTCAAACCGATCAATTATTTTTCATCTTCAGTTGGGTCAGAAATTCAGGTATCTATCTTTGATTACTTATATCAGATGTAGAGATGTGAAATAGAAGTGTAAGCATACGTCACTATAAACAAAACAACAAAGTGCTTTACTGCTTCCGATCACTAAATAAATAAGATAAAATGTATATGAGATTGTTACCGACACGTATTACCACAAACGATATTCATGATATGAATATTTTCAAGTTTGTGTTAATATTATTAAGATAGATTTTCTACACTAAATAGATAATCTGTTAGTATTGCTACTCTAAAATAGAGATGATCATTCTGGTCTTGACGAGAAATGATCAAAACTGAAGAAAATCTGATTATTCTGTTAAATTCAACATAAAAAAAAAGTAGCAACGTATTTATTCTAAAGTCTCACTCAGACAGAAAAATTTTCAATCACATATTTTTGATATTTATTTTAAAATATAATTTGATTATTTTAGGCTGATTATACACGGGTTGAACAATCAATTCATAAAGCATTAAATGCTACAGTAACTTCTCCAGATATACTTAATAATACAGCAACTTCATTACTTGATGTGAAAAAAACAGCGGTCGCCGCAGCTACAGCTGCTCTTATAACAGCTCAAGCTTTACAAAATCAATTAAGTACACCATCTACTTCAAATGGAACATTAATGGACGGAAATAATGCATGCACATGGACTAATACCCTAGTTCAACCAGTCACATTTTTACCGACATAATTTTTTCCATGTTCTTTTTTTTTCCTTATGTACATGTTATTTTGCGATATTCTCTACATATGAATATATCTCAAAATGTAGACATTGGTGCTTGTGTTTTTGTAGACATACAAATATACAGTGTTAACCTATATGGTTTTCTTTTTTTGTGTACGCCAAGCGGCTGTTTGTTTCTCTAATATATATGTTTGTGTATGAACTTTTTCTTTTTATAATTTATTGATTATGATTATTATTATTTTGTTTGTTATGTTTCATTCACGCTCAAGTTGGTCTTACTTTTTGTTGGTTTCTTTTTTTTTCTTTCTTCAAGTCTTTCGGTATTCTAATGTTTTTTTTTCTTCTTGATAATAACAATTATTATTATTTTTTGATTCATTTTTTGCTCTTCTTCATAAGTGCATGTTGGTGTCTATGTGCAAAAGTGAAAGTTAGAAGAAGAAATGAAATAAAATTTTCAAATTACTTTTAAAAATTTATTTATTTATTTATTTAATAAGTATTCTAATGTACAACTATTTGATTTATCAAGATCTAATAACATTTTGCAATGTTCTTCATGTATATGTATTTGTGGTCGACATTTTTTAACAAGATTAAATGCATCCATTAAAGTTATATTCATTGAATGCATTAAATAGACAATAGCTATAAATGGTGTACGACTCATTCCACCACGACAATGAATTAATACACGATTAGAAGTTTTTTCTTGACGAACTTGATCAATAAATTGAAGTATAAGAGGCAAATTTTTTTCACATTTATTTTTTGATACACCATCATTAATATGAAATACACCATATGTAAATTCTGATGGATAATAACATTTACCAGCTAAATTTACAATATGAGTTATATTTAATGAATGAAGACCTTCTAAATTTTTTGATGTTTGACTACTACCAAGATAAAGAAAATTTTCAATAAGTTCTGAATATTCAAAAGATTTTATTGATAATTTTGATTGTTGACGTGCCATGAATAAATACTTTTACAAATGAAAGCTATTCGTTTCTTTTTCTAGTGATGACTAAGAGAGAATTGCATAATTATTTCGCAAGAACTGTAGATATTATATAAACTATGGAAGGTGGTTTTTTCTTGTCATAGTCATATTTACAATATTGTCAAAAATAAGAAAATAAAGAATAAATAAATCATTATTAAGAATTTTATTAAAATTTATTATAATCGTGTAGGATATTTTGCAATAAACGAAAGTTTAAATAAAATGATTATAAATTGTTTATTTGAAAGATTTTTACAAAGACTAAAAATTATGAATTGTGATGAGAATTTTGTGCACTTTCTTATTTCAGAATCATTCATTTTATTTGAGTTTTTGTTGAATAGTAGTGAAGAAATCTCTTTTTAAGAAATGATTCACAAGACAATCGAACATTCTACTAGACAAGCATAAGCTGATCAAATTTTAAAATCAACTCTCCATAGGCGTATTCAATAGCTCATGTCAAGAAACTTGTATAACTGAAGTTTTAGACAAAAACAATGCTTCTTCATTGGGTACAAAGTTTGCAGAAAGAAAAAGGGCATTTTTCAATTTTCTCTCTTTCTCATTCGTATCTCGAAATTTTTTTTTTGAGCAACATCTCATTTGAACAAGAAGTCATAATTCTTATGGTTATACATTATAAATGAAGAGGTTTAAAAACTGCAAAAAAAACTCCTTATGTAAAAAAAAAAAAGATTGAGTATTTCTGATAAAAAAAACCACTGCTATTTGTTGTACATCAACAATTTTATTAGACTATTTTGTGAAGAACCTATTGCTCTACAAGATACATTATGTTTTATATTCATAAAATCCATAGCGAGTGCTTAACAAGGCAGAATACACAACATGTTAGCGATAGTTTAAAAACTGAAAATTTCAAAAACTAAATTTTGCCATTTTCTGATCATAAATACAGATGAAACTGATGTATGACAGGCGAAAACTTTTTCACAAAAATCGTTCCTAGATATTTGAAAATATATTATAAATGAATTTTTATTCAGTTAAATTATAAGGTTTTCTTGGTATGAACCCTGCCGTTTTATTAAGATATTCTGTTGGTGAAACCAATCATTTGGAACATGCTGTACCTTTGAATTGACTCGAGTTGTGTATCGTATGATGAAATTATTGACGTTGAGTTGTTTCATCGATCACTCGTTCTTTTTTGAATGCTTCGATATCTTCATCTTTGCAAGAATCAGCTTTGAACTTCTTCTGTTGATTTGATTCGATTTGCTTTCAAAAGTTCACTTTCTTCAAAGATAAACGTAACTTAGTCTTTGATACATTCAACTTCTACTGGCAATGCTTCTGTTTTTCATCGTGTATTACTGTTTGTATTAATCAGACAGATATTCGATCTATTTTAGAGTAAGCTGTGTGAATTTTTGAGTTTTTAGAAGTGTTCAAGCTTCGACTAGATGAACTCTTTTGAGGCTTACTTTGAATGACAACGGATACGAGTCCTTTTTGATCAGTTATTTGAAGTTTCGATGCGCACATCTATATTTCGAAGTCACTTAATGAAAGAGACTTCCATTAGCGAGCATGTTTTCAAGCTACGAGATGGTCGACGAAGTTTCCAGCGTTTAGAAGCTTCTTAACACATGTCTCGATATAACAATCAAAGAAACAATCTATTTGAATATTCTTGTCACTGTAAATAGAACTTTTTGATCAATCGTGTTGGTCGTTTTTTATCTGTGCTGCTGGCAATGAAACGGACTTACTTTTCGATATTTTTAGTTTTGAGGCGTTAACGCACAATTTGTGCTGTTACAAAATTATCATAGGTGATCAAGCGTTTTTCGAAGCAGTTTCATTGATTCTTAATCGTTGTCCAGTACAAAACTCGATCGATAGCTACACCTGTATGATAATCATATTCATTCTTTATTTGCATGTCGATAATTATGCACTTTTGATTCTTAAACATTTTCATAAAATGTGCTACTCACTGCAAAAAATGAACGTCCTTGCAATTACCATCAATTATGTAACACGTACCACAAATAAAGTGACTAGATCATAGTCTCAAATTGAAGTTAGCATGAATCCATTATGCATAATTAAGGCTTCTTCGTTGCAATGACTTCTTCTATTATTAACATGTGGACTAGACAGCGGAAGGCGCTAATAATACTGTTCGTTCGTGTCCAAATCAAATTAAGCCAATAGTCAACAAAAATGGCGAACGGAAATGAATGTTCTATCGAAATAGATCTTCGTTTCATCATCGATCTCGAATCAATAAAGGGTCGTCTGAATTTTTGTATGTGTCTTTTGAAATAGATACTTGTTCAATTTCCTGTGCCAATCTGCTAGCCAAATTATGTGATTGCTCTTGTTTTCAGCGCATTCATCATTATTACCTAAGCAAACGTCTTTTCAAGTTCAAAAAGCACCATTGTAAAGGGCTGTATACGAATAAATACGCCAGAAAATGATCGCCGTATACGGCAGTTGAATACAGTAAATACATACGACAAAAGAAGTTCAAATACGACTAGTATTTACTATGAAGGTAAATCATTGTCGTGCACGGCTATTGTTATACTATCGTATATGATCGAAACTCTGTCGTCAGTTGAGATATCCATCTCAATCAACATTTTTTTCTTTCAAATTGCACATCAAACCCAATGGTATATGCCATGTAAAAAATGAATCATTTCTTTATTAAATAGGCTTATCTTGATTATGGGTTTAGTTTATTTTTATAAAATAAACATAAATTAAAGGATAAGGAAAGATTTCTTTCTGTGATATTTGTATATAAATATCTACTGCAATTAAAGAATCTTTCAATCAGCAGTCTTTCTACTTTTCTGTATCTATAATGCTACAGTTTGTTTGATTTATCTCAAGAGAATAACCGAATAAGTTTCTATAGAAAAAAAATCTTCCTTTATTATCACAAGCAGTAATATCTCCCTATCCTGACGGTTAATACGGAAAGACTGATACAAAGTACTGCCAATTTGTTTTACTCTATTTGAATAACTATACTTTCGTCATATATGTGTAACATTTGTTTTTATTAAAGAAGATGAAGGACGATTAATTAATATCATATGATTGAAGAAACACAAAGGCCACAACAGGCGTCTTTGGTTTTTATTCTTTCTAATCCTTAACAATTTTGTGATTAACTTCTATGAATTTCTTAGCTAAATATTTGAAATGAGTGAAGTTTCTTATTATTTCACAAATAAATCAGAAACTCCATTACATGAAAAAGTGAATATATGTAATAGAACAGCAATGAATGCAGCTATTGTGAATATGAATGAAACAATTATATTGAATGGAACTAATAATGCAACATCAGGGCCACTACCTTGAGAATGTGGGTGTAGATGTTAATTTTCTCTACATTTACCCTATCCGTTATTGTAATGAACAATAAAAATAAATGAACATTCTGAAAGTTAATAGGAGATTCAACTATGGGTATTAGTTTATTACATTAATTTATATTTTCATTATTTCGAATTATCACAATTGTAGATTCAATGATAACAATTACAGATCGACATATTAGATACATAAGCAACAGAGAAGATATTTATATATGTTCTTGTCTTTATTTGTTTAAAAAAAGTGTCAACAAAGTAATTATATTCTTTAGAAAGATATGTATTTACGTAATGATTAATTAAATCAATATTAATACAATATGTATATTTCTCCTCTATTAAAATGAACAACTAAAATAAATAATAAGTGAAAACCATGATTTCATATATATATATAATAATGCATCCCTTCTATATCCTATCATAAAATATTCCATGCCCAGTTTTATGTCTAAGCGGATCAACGTTTTCATGCAGTCTTCTCGTAGGATCCTTTTTTGGAAATACTGATAATGAAAACGATATTCAAGAATACCACGGAAATTTTGAGCATTGAAAAGCATGTCTTAAGATTAAAAAAAAAATCTATAAATCATTTTAGCTTCATTCTTCATTGGTTTTCAGGTGAGAATTCTGAAAACTGAACATATTTCTGATTAAATATACTGATTAAGGCTATAATTTCTTAAGCCATTAAATAATTAAGAAAGAATCTTAAGTGATATATAAGACATAAGACATTGCTCCTGTGAGAAACATTTTCATGCGACGACCATTTTATAATAGGAGTCTTGATTTAGGTGACAACCATTTGGAAAAAGACGAATGAGTTAAATTAAAAAATGTCAGTCTTAGTCGTTTCTCATGAAATTCTAATCAAATTTCTTTTTGATTTCGTTCGATTTAGTTTGAGATTTAAAGTATTAGTTTCGATTTTATTCGATTCACAGTTCCTTAAATTTTTCTTGATTTCGTTTCTACTGCCTTTAATTTTTTGGAAAAATTTGACCTGAAGTCATCTACGATAAATTTTCTTCAATAAAACTAAACTATGTTGTCATTTATTAAACAAATTTCGCAGGTAACGAGGAAGGAAAGTACGACTAATAATAATGATAATATAACACATTTTTCAGTGTCAAGAAGATTCTATAACTTTGACAATAGACGAAGTTGCCCACACGTCTTATTTCTTTGTATACGAGACAATGAAACACGATTGTAATTGTGCAATCAGACATAAAAAACAAAAAAAAACGTGTACGAACATATTTTGCAACGTATACGACTGTTTGCGACACTTTTTTCTGAGCTCTGAGCTAAACGAAAAGGCTGAAGAAATAGGGTCCATTAGTTTGAAGCGAACGAATCAATAAATCGAATATCACAGCATTAACGAATAATATCAATGCGAAATATTTACCTTATGAATACGAGTCACTTTGTTTATCGTTACTCATTTTCTTTCCTCTCTTCATCGATTGCATGCATCATCGATCACCAATACTTACCTTGTCAACACAATGCTTATGAGACAAAATGAGACTCTGTGTGTGTAGTAAAATATACCAACCTTGAACATACATAAGCATTATTTGTTTTTCTTCATACAGAATGATGAGAAGGTGGCTACAGAAAAAGTCAAGTGAGTTCAAATTTAATCAGCTGTTTTATTCATAGACTACGCAAAAGATCATACACGAGAAAGTAGAGATGATTTAATATTACTATTAATCTACATTAGCATGCTTATTGTCAAATGAAAAAAGATAATCCAATAGATTTGTGCGTACATTGTGAATTGTAATTTCAATGTGAGAAAATATTAAGAGAAGAGAAGATAAATATACACTTTAACATTATTATGTACTAAAACGATATATGTGAGACAAACTATAGAACTTTCTCAGGTTGTAGTCAAAATCGGTTTTAAACCTTCTAGGAACGAATTTTAGTCAAGTCAACATAATTTTCAACCATATTTATGATTAGGTCACAAAACTTTATCTCTAAAGTTTTTAGTTTTTGAACCATCGTAGTCACTGCCCATATTTTGCTTGTTTTTCAGTACTCTCTATGCATTTCAAAAATACAACACATCATATATCTTGCAGTGAAACGTATTGTCCACAAAATAGTCTAATAAAACTAGTGATATATAATGTACAGCACTGCTTTTTTTCATCGAAAGTACCAAATCTTTGTTGTTCGATAAAAAAATTTCAAAATTTTTATACCCATACATGCCATTGTTTAGCCATGAGAAATACGACAGTCTTGTTTAATTTGATTTTCTTTTTCAAAAAATATCTTACCCAAAACAATCAATTGAAGTACAAACAAGAACGAAGTGAATTATGCAATAGTCTTTTATTGAGAAAATTGAAAATAGTTGTTTATTTTTTTTAAGTTTGTACTTCAACGAAAAATCATTGTTTTGGTCTAACACTTTGGTTACAGTTATCAGTTTTATTTTAGAAAAATTGTTTTTTTCTCATTAAAAGATGATTTATATAGAAAGTAGCTCCTAAGAAAATACTAAAAACTATACTTGAATATAAGCAACATTTCAGTTTAGTATAATATTTTATCAACAATAATTCTTGCACGCTGCAAGTACCAAATTGAATCATTTATTGTACTTTTCAAATAGAGTACTGCAGATCTTTAAGAAATGTCTACATTATCATTGAAAAGCAAACTGACATAAATTCGATGATACAAAAGTCTACGAAATTTTCATCATTATTTATCCATTGAAAACAAGAGCATAAAGCAGATAAGATTGATAAACATCTTCTTTTTACTCGGGATAAATAAGAAGACTGTTCTTTGTGTTTCTCTGAATCATATCATATTAATCAATCGTCTGTCAGCTTCGTTCATCAAGACAGATATCATATATAAGTGACAAAAGTATAGTCATGCAGATAGAATAAAATATCTTTCCAGAACTTAATATTAGATATTAGTCCTTTCATATTAACCATCAGAGTAGAATAATATCACGTATACGTGCACACATTAGCGCATATTAAGTTTTGCATGCGTATTTTTAATAAAAGAAAAGTATATTCATAGAAGAAAAAACTGTTCTTCCAGATTTGTTTCGATTACTAATAATAATCTCTTTTCTTTTTAATATTTAGTTCGTATACCTCGTGTTACATTACGTTCGATTATAACGGCTATTGGACTTTGTATGTGTTGTATACTACTCTTATTTAGATACAGTAATTTCGATAATGATACTCATGCAAAAGAACCAAAACCAATTGAATGTAATTGTCCATCAACACAAAAATCATTTCCTCAAACCACTCCATCAACATCACAATCAACTATTACTACTACTCGACAAGTAGCCATATTAAAACCATGCAAACCAATTGAAAAAACTTCTCCTGTACAACGTGCCATTGTTATTTATTATCCAAATCATCAGAGTGAAAGTTTTTTCCCAGAAGTCAGATGGTAAGCATAAACAAGACCTGAATAACAAACTGATAAATTTCCAACGATTTTAATTTCATCCTAATTTCTTTTGTCATAAAACAATCGATTGATTACTTTTTCAGAATGATCTATTTTATTTATTGATTGTCGAAGTTTGCTTGCATGTAGACTATCAGATTTCTATTCACCAACCTTCTTGTTTCCGTTTGTAATATTTATCGTCTCAGTGAAGCCTCTTGTCTTTTTTTTTTGAGATATGATATTTCGAATTTGTTTCTCTAACTAAGGCTTTATCGTTCATGGGTTGAAATGTTACTTGGTGAACCATCAACATGGCGAACAGATTTTGTGATATTTACATATAATTTTTCGAGTGACTTTCGAAAACTTGGTTGTGTTAATCGTCTTCGTCAAAATAAGGAAGAACCATCTATGTGCCGTCTTTTTCTCTATGTACCAGTAGAATTTCGAACAGAGATTGTTACGAAAAACAATTTTCAACATGCATTTGATGATGCAAAACGTGTCATAGAATCATATAAAGATATGAATGACTCATTTATTGGTGTACCATTAGTAAATGATACAGAAACATTTGATGAAAAACGCTCAAAATCTCTTTATGAAAATCTTCGAACATATGGTTATATTGATTCAATTAATTCAATCTATGAAGGTTATTGGACACTAAAAATGTATGATTTTATTTTACGTACTGATATTGGTAAGTTTAAGGTTTCCGATTGTACATTAAATTAATATTTATCACTTCTTTCATAATTCCAAGTAAGACATCGAATATGCATAGTTTTGAGTTAACAACTTTCGGATATTTTATTTCATCGTTGGCATAAAAAGATTGCATACTATGTGAAATTTTATGAACAATAAGTGAAGTTTAAAATATAAGAAAACAATGAATACTTTTTTTTTAATTTTTCTATTGTTAATGTTTAGTCTAATCTATGTATTAAAACATATATAACGCATGAATCTCTATGAACCTTCTTTGATGTCTTGTTCTTTACATCAATGATATATGGTCTAAAGAATTAGTTACCCTAGAATATGAATAGTAAAGAAAGATTATGAGCAGTTTAATCAACTATAACTCTAACACTTTTCAACTATTTTATTTTGTTAAACATTACTATTCAATTTTTTTCTCACATTGTTTTGTTTGTCTCTTTGTTTTTTACTGATTTCACGCAAGTATATTCTCATATAATATTATTTAGATGTTTTCATTTATCGTCACTTTGCAACATATATTCCACAAAATTGTACTTTCATAACTGGCCTCGGTGGTTATGGCACAGACTTTAATCGACGTAAATTCAAACGTATTGCTAATGATATGGGCTTTGCACATGCTAATATATCTAACATGGGTTCTACTTGGTTTGTTTCATTATCTTTTTTTATATTAATAATATTATTCTCCTCTTTATGTAAAGGTATGGTTCACCATATGATGCATATTTAGTTGCTAATCAAACACTACATGGTATGCTGTGGTTAGCACTATATGAATTTGCTATGCCGGAAAGAGAAGGTAAATTAGGAACATCAATGTGGCCTGAATGGTAAATATCCTTTGACACATTAGTTAAAATACTTATACTTTTCTAGGCATTTTGGTGTTTTACTTTTATATGGTCAACATTTAGCGCTAAATCATTTAGTTGGTATAAATCAAATTCAGCTATTTATAGGTCACGACCTTCTTGATCAATCATCAACAGATGATACAGTGGCATATGTTCAACAAGGGATACGTCTTAATTTACATTGTTGGCATACAGATTTACCTTTTTCGAAATTTGTTTTCAAAATGGGTAAATATAATCAAACTGACTTAGAAAAATATAAAAATGATACTACTTCTCAAGCTTATGTAAGAAACAAAGAAAATGATGAAAGAAAAATGCTAAAGATGTCTATTTTTAATTTGTATTATAGGCAATGCGTATGGCACTTGAATCAAAGTATATGACACTTGAAGAATTGGCTTCATATGGAAGAAATAAAACTTTATAATCTTAAAATCTATCAAACTATTATCATCATCTATTAAATAATTGCAATATGATTCAAATTACGTACTATTAATAAAAAATCATTTTGTTGTTGATTTATTCATAATGCAGAGGCAACTTTAAAGAGTTTCATAATAACAGAGTTTTATGTAGAATTAATTTAAAGAAAAGGTGTTGTTATGATCAAGATGTAGAATTTTTTTAAATTGAAGAGAGGAGGAGATAACAATTTTTAGTAGACATTCATTTCTATCAGAATTTTTGTATGTTACACTCAGTGTAATTTCTTATGATTGTTCATACGCTAGCATTTTTTCAGTTTCCTTGGTTAGAAAACTATTTTTTGAAATTTTTTCATTTATACTTAAATCCTAATATAGGTTTATCATTCGGTAGACAATATGATGTTGATTACAATCGTTCATATTTTGTTTGAATAGTTTCTCCAGACATCGTATGTTTTTTTTACAAGCATGATCTTCCAAGTTCTTTTTTACCATTTGTTTATTACAGTCTGGACAAATCCTATTCGTATCTACTGCTATAATGAACATGTATGAGCGCACAAGGAAAGATATGAATGTATATATATATGTAATGGGCAAAGAAAACAAGTTGAATCCTATGTATATGTCGGTGTTTATTTTAAAATCAACTGGTCAAGTTTAAAATTAAAGAACCAACTAAGATGGAACTCGTGAACATTTCAGTCTAAGAACCAACTATGGTTCATTTTCATATCAGAAGGCCTTTAAATATTTCTTAGAAAAATTTTAATAAAAACAAGATAGAAATGTGAAGCTTTTAACTTTAGAAGCTGCGAATACAGGAGAAACTCAATGAACTCAAGGCTGAAAAATTTGTTAGTCGGGATCTGGAAACTATGAAAATGGCTTTATGAACAGTTTAGTTGTGTGTTTTTTTTATATATACAGACCAACGATCCCCATATCAAGTTGATATCTGATGCCAGTTTCATTTTTAGCAATATATGTTCAAAGCACCAATTTGAACATCTATGAATACAATAAATGAGGAAAAAAACTTGAACGATGAAGTCTTTTTTAAACGATTGAGCTATTTATATTCTAAGAGAAGCTAGTGGTACCAAAAAAACAACTCGTTATCGAAGTCACTGCATTCACAGATTGCATTGAGAGTTGATCACACTGTTGCACATCTATTTACATCATTTATTTCAAATTGAATGAAATATAAACGTTATACTCAGTGAGAAACCACAATCAATGTAAGAACGAAAAATGGGAGTTTCGCACAAAAGAAGTTTTTCAAGATTATCTTGAGACTTTCTAGAACTCATCAAAAATAAACTTGTAGGTATTGTGTTGTATCCATCATTTTCACATACATAGACGTTTTATCTTCATGCCTTGTGTAGCTATAAGCTACATGATTCTATTCTGTATTTCGTAAAGCTTTATAAGGAAAATATTCAAAAATATTCTGATATGAAAATAGATCACATTTGGCTATAAAACTAAAAAGTCTACTAGCTCCATCTTAGGTGTCTTATAAATGTAGAATACTTTCAAAGTAAATTCCGACATATATAGATTCCATCAATTGCCATCATCTGTTGTTGTGTTTTTGTAGAAGTTAATTTCATTACAATCATACATTCATTCTAGAATTTATTGAAATTCCTTATTTGTTTCAATTTCAATGAAGATAAGCATAGTTTGCTTATATGTCATCAATTGCAATGTACTTTCGGAAGATTCAATAAATATTCAGCTTGCTAGATTTCACAAACAATCTATACTATACCAAAGTGAAGAGATACTCTTCACTATCTGCTAGAATAGATAAACAATTTGTTGTATGAAAATTATTATTTGAATATGTACTTTTCCTATTTCATTTTTATGTTTCTGCCTTTTTTTTTTTATTAAAGAAGGATCGAATAATAGGATGTTCAAAAAGAACATTTAGAGATACTACATAAATATGAAATGTTCATAATGATAGATACTGTTTTATTGACAATAGAAGACAACGATAAGAAACATTTTTTCTTCTTTAATTTGTCATATATTTTTAAAAAGGTTCGACCTGTATTTGTTTTTTGATTACAGGTGTCGTATTAGAAATAGCATCAATGGCATTTGATAAATCATTGATTTGTGTAATAAAATATAAAATTGATATTAGAAAACCTTTCAAACATTTAAATTATAAAATTCTTTCTAGCTGTTTTTTTTAGCCAAAAACACTTCTGGATTTCGATCTGACTTGTTATTTGTCATCAGTTAATGTTAAATATTTTGTATTAAATTATAGAACTAAGAAAAGTGTATGTTTAACATTAATCATCCTACTAGAGTAGTTGAATGAAAGAAACATGTGTGAATCACTCATGTTTTTTTTCGACTACTCGAAACTTCGATGAGTATCGAGGGTTATAGGAGTGCCTGAGGAATCGACAATGAATACCCAATAATATACAGGTTTGGAATTATCGGAGTCTGACAACCACCGGAGGCTCGAAATCGGAACAGAACGAACGAAAAAAATATGTTTCGAATATTTACGTGCTCTTCGCACCCATGATATACTTTTTTAAAGTTTGCTTGGGTGTTTCTCCATAAGAAGTATTTTAAGCTTGTGGATCTCTACACATCATTGTTTAGCCATGAGAGGTATGACAATCTTGTTCACTATTATTTTTTTGTTTTTTAGATACGATGCTGCTAAAAGAAATCAATAGAAATACGGATGAGAAAGAAGTGAATCATATCATGGCCGTTTTTTGAGAAAATTAAAAATAGTCGTTTCTTTTTGTTAAAGTTTGTAGCTTAACCAAAAAAAAGTGTTCCTTTGGTCTAAAACTGTACTTACAATTGTCAGTTTCGTTTCGTTTCGTACAAAGTGATTTTATTTTTCATCAATAAATGGTTTATATTGTAGGTAGCTACTATGAAAATATTAACAACTATACTTGAACATAGGCAACACATAGATTGAGTATGATATTTTTTCAACGATTATTCACACACTTAATCTAATGAATTGAATCATGTACAGTACTTTTCGAATGGAGGTTTTTAGAATCTGTAAGAGGTATATACACTATAGTTGAAAAAAAATGCTCAAATAAAATTTATGACAAAGGATTTCACATGATTCTGGTCATTATTTTTGTATTGAAAATGGAACTGAATAATCTTATTGCATTTTGTTCCTCAGAGGACAATTAACCCTTTAACCATTATTGACGAGTATACTCATCAAAGCAATCTTTATTGAAAAAATAAAGATCATAACTCCTTGATTCTGTTTTCTTTGTACGCTTTGTGTCGATCCTAACATCCTGTACTGAGTAAAGCTCTCTTTACCGGTTCTGATGTTTCAGGTCGATTATGTTCCTGCGTTTCTGTGTATCAAAAGTTGTTCTGAGAAAAGTTTACTATTTGGTTTCCAAAAAATTTGACGATTAAAGAGTTAAAACAAAGAGTGCACACTAAAACCAGAAGTACAAAGAAGCTTGACACAAGACAAATAAGTGTGAACTTGATAAAAAAAACAATAGTTGAACAACAAACAATATATGATAGCATAGAATGATGACGATGATAATAATTATGTCTCTTCAGATTGAGTCTTCTTAAAAAACATCAAATAATTATGTAATGCTATATCTAGTTTATACTTAAAATGTTCAATCACTATTAATGAAAAACATATTTTAATAAAATACTTTAGTTTGAACGAAGTTCAGGATTTGATAATTTACAACAGAAAAAATGAATAAATCTGTTATGATCATTTAAGAGCGTGTAGATTTTGAAGGAATTTTATGCAGATTTTTTTCTTTTCGTTCTACGACCTCATAGAGAAAGCATCGTTGAAGAAAGTAAAATTATTTCCGCTAGAAGTGTTCTTTTTCAATATTAATTCTCGATCACTATTAGAAAAGACTTGTTTGAACTTCAAATAAACTATTTCTTTTCTCTTTAATATTTAGTTCGTATAAATCGTGTGACATTACGTTTAATTCTATCCGCTACTGGAATAAGTGTATGTTGTTTTTTACTCGTATTGATTGTACGTAACTTCAGTAATAATACTCATGAAAAAGAATCGAAGTCAGTTAAATGCGACTATCCATCAACACAAACTTTATTTTCTCAAACAACTTCATCAGTATCAAATATTACTCGAAACAAACCCATACTGAAACCATGTAAACCAATTAAAAAAACTTCTCCTGTGCAACGTGCCATTGTTATTTATTATCCACATCATCAAAGTGAGGAGTTTTTTCCAGAAGTCAGATGGTAAGCATATAACATATGAATAAATAACCGATAAATAATAACAGACTTTTATTTTGAATCAGATTCTTTTATCATAAAGCAATCGATCGATTATTTTTTCAGAATGATCTATTTTATTACTGGTATCAAAGTTTGCTCGCATGTAGACTATCAGATTTCTATCGACCAATGTTCTTGTTGCACTATTCAGAATTCTTTCTTCGAATGAATCCCTGTGTTTTTTTTTAATGAAAAATCATTTTTTTGGCATTTGTTTATTTTGTTGAGGCTTTATCGTTCATGGGTTGAAATGTTACTTGGTGAACCATCAACATGGCGAACAGATCTTGTGATATTTACATATAATTTTTCGAGTGAATTTCGAAGACTTGGTTGTGTTCATCGTCTTCGTCAAAATAAGGAAGAACCATCTATGTGTCGACTTTTTCTCTATGTGCCAATACAGTTTCGAACAAAAAATATTACGGATAACGATTTTCAACATGCATTTGATGATGCAAAACGTGTCATAGAATCATATAAAGATATAAATGACTCATTTATTGGTGTACCATTAGTAAATGATAAAGAAACATTTGATGCAAAACGTTCAGAATCTCTTTATGAAAATCTTCGAACATATGGTTATATTGATTCGATTAATTCAATCTATGAAGGTTATTGGACATTTAAAACATATGATTTTATTTTACGTACTGATATTGGTAAGTTTAAGATTTTCTCATGTCTATGAAACTAATGTCTATTAGTTCTTTCATAAGACGAATTAAAGCACTTTTTTGAATATTCTATGCGATTAAGATGTTATATAATGTAAAGGAAAGAATATATTTAGTAATGTAAACGGAAGTTGTCTGTTATTGTATAGTAATGATTATGAAAATTAATTCAAGAACACATGACTCTAGTTAATGGATACCATTTTCAAGGATATGTTCCGTATTTGATAAGAATTTGTTGAAGATTTATGAACATTTTCCAAATTTTTCAATATCAGATGAAATATTTGCAAGAACAATATAATCAACGATAGAATTTCATTTGAAGCTTTACTCATTTTGAGACCTTATGATCATTAAGAGAACTTCCATGAGCCCATCGAGTATCATTTCAATATACAAACCATTCGATCAAATGTTTTATTGTGATTGTTTTTGTTAATCCAACCCATCACAATGTCTAAAACTGCCAAGACTGACTTTTTAAGTTTCAATACCCTCGCTCTGAAAAGTTATCTAATACCGACTTTCAGCATTATAATACCTGTTTGAGAAAAAAACACGAAGAAATACCCTATAAAGGATATGTCAGCTTGCGTTTGAACAGATCCTTGAAATTTTTCATGGTATATAACAGATGATAGACAATTAAAAGTTGGACAATATAAGGTATGTGGGTATAATAGAATGTCTAGCAACTCAAGTTTTATAAAGATGAGAAGATGTCTTCCCCGTTTCGATTCGATGGGACAGATTGTTTTCGAATATTTGTTTACCATTTTGTAGAGAGAAAAAAGTTGCACAAGATACGTAAAATTCAGCTGAGGATGTTCTGCTTCTGAAACATAGCAGCAAGTACATTTTTGAATTTGTAATGATCAAAAGGACCCCTCTTGATTCGTACTGATTTTACAAAACTTGAATTGCTAGACATTAAATTATATGCATATAGCTCATTTTATTCAGCTCTTAAATCTCTATTTTCTGATTTGTTCAAACGCAAGTGGACACATCTTTTATACGGTCTTGCTTCTTGCTTTTTCCCAAAAGGTATAATATTTCTAAAAGTCGGTTTTGGCTAACTTTTCAAAGGAAGGATATTAGAACCTAAAATTTTGGTGATAGTGATTTTAGACATTCATATGTTGCATGAGCAAAAAAATCATAAAAAATTTTTTTATCGAGTGTAGCGGCGTAACCAGAGTTTTGGCGATGGTAGGGCTCAGCAACGCTTAAATATCCGGTGGTAGGGCTCAGGTTACTGAGGCCTGTGGGGGTGGTAGGGCTTGTGAAAGGATTCAGCTGACGATGCTAACACCGGTGGTAGGGCTGAAAGGTCGGGTGGTAGGGCTGAGCCCCCCCCTGGCCCTACCTTGGTTACGCCACTAATCGAGTGTGCCATAAACTCCAATCCATCATAGATGCTCACTTAAAAGTTTATACAACTATTATTGAAAATATTTTCTGTTTCAAAATGGTAAAATGTTAAAAAACTCTCGTTATCGATGCTTTTTATGACATAAGAGAGTTTTCATGTCATTGATTCTATGGAAAAAGAAACAATTTGTTTTGATAAAAACTTTCAAGAAATTCTGAAGACTATTAGACTAATGATTATCTAAAATTTCATTGGGAATGATGTGATCGTATTAGAAGTCTTCATACGTCAGAGAAAAAGATGTCGTCATCTAATTGAACGCAAGACAAGATCTGAGTTCAGTAAGAACATATTAATCTTCATTCTTGTGTCATATCAGATATCATCGACTCATGTCAATGAGGTTAACTAATAATGTAAGAAAAATTCATGTCATTAATATGTTGTAGAAAATGTCTAACCTAATATAAAAAACTGTTTTGATTTAAAACACTAAAATCTAGGAAGATATTGAAATACAAGTATAGGACAGCGCTCAGATTATCATTATTAATAGAATGCTTCGCAATTTTTGCTGAATACTATATTCCAAATTTGTTTTTAATGATGTTTTAAGTGTAAAATCAATCGTTGTAAATATTTCATCATTAATGGAAGTTGAAAAATCGATGCAATCTCTTAAATCTATTTACCTGGGTATGTTATTATCAAAAACAGATGAAGTTTGTTTTATCACTTCATACGGTGGTTTGATGTTTCGTTATACCTTCGAAAAAGAAAACAAAAGATATATACCGGGTGGGCCAGAATAAATGGCGGTCTGGGTATTTTGACTATAACTTTTTTTCTCTTTGATTTTTAGAGCTGGTTGTTTTGCCCAAAGTTGCGCCGTGAAATTCTCCACAAAACCATAACTAAAGTTATTTTCGTAGAAAGTTGAGGGAAAAAGCTAAATGAATATTATTCAAAACATAAAAAGTGCCCAACTTTCAAAGTTAGCTAGTGTCTCATGTATGCTTGGTATTTACATACCCTTTTTAATTATCAAGTAGGTGTATTTTAAAAACAAAGTACACTCCAAGATGCAGCATGAAAAGCTCTACAAGATACATTAAAAACTTTATTTTATACATACACTTTTTATTTTCTAAATGATCAAAATTCTGTGCGACCAGTTTTCAACTCTGCGAAAAAGACCATTTTTTGGTCGCACGAAATTTTACATATTTTAAAAACAAAAGATGCATGTATATAAAATGACTTGTTCTTTGTAAGCTGTAGAGCTTTTCACACTGCATCTTGTGGTATATTTAATTTTCTTTTAATAGAATATATTAACTGATACAAGGTTGAAATAAGAAAAACGAATTCGTAGTGTACCAAAAAAATGATCTTGTTCGCAGAGTCGAAAACTGGTCACACACAATTTTGATGATTTTGAAAATATAAGGTGTACATAAAAAATAAGGCTTTTCATGTAACTTGTAGAGCTTTTCACGCTGTATCGAATAGTATACTTTGCTTTTAAAATATGTGCACTAGAGGAGGATAAAAAAACGAGATACAAACACTAGCCATTCGTAGAGCACCCATTAGCTTTGAAAGTTGAGCACTTTTTATGTTTTGAATAATATTCATTTAGCTTTTTCCCTTAACTTTCTACGAAAATAACTTTAGTTATGGTTTTGTAGAGAATTTCACGGTGCAACTTTGGGCAAAATAACCAGCTCTAAAAATCAAAGAGAAAAAAGTTATAGTCAAAATACTGAGACCGCCATTTATTCTGGCCCACCCGGTATATATCAAGTTCAAAACAAACTAGTCAAATATGTATGGTTTTGAGTCCATACCTGTTTGGATAGTTTATTTGATCGTTAGAATTATTGATGTTGAGATAATATCTGATTAGCAGTAATATGAACTCGTGAAAAAGGGACGTATTTATTCGATATTCTACAATCAGCACTTCAAAGTAAGTAGTTAAGTATTCTTAGGTCAAATCGTATAGGACCATTATGCATAATTAACGTGCCATCCATCTTAAAAATAAATCAGAATATGGAACATACAGTGACTCATATTCATCATGTGACAAGGTCAGTTCAGGTGACAAAATATTATTGATTTCTTTATCAATATAGGTATCGCATTGCCGTTGCTCATTATACATTTATTATATACTGAAACAAAGCAATAAACTAATAGATTATTCGAAGTAGAAACTACCATAACTAGATTTCTGTTAGTGTACCTGACGTATAATAAAGTAGAAGTAAATGATTATTGCATCGCCACAAATGTATTGTATCAATGACATTCACTGATATGAAAATAATTTTTTTTTCAAATTTCTCAAAATAAACAAGGAAAGATTGCATGTATGCGAAATTCGATAAAGAATATAGGAGAAAAAAGAAAACGTAATACTTCTTTCAAACAATATTTGCCTCGTTATCGTTGAGTCAAATTTATATAATAAAAACTGTATAACAGTTGAGTTTCTCTGAAGCGTCTTTGATTCCTTGATCCGTACATAAGTGACATGTGATTCAGAGAACTACCTTTTCTATGATATAAATAATAAACAATGGCCATGAACAGTTGAATTAACTATAACTCTAACAGTTTTAAACCAAATCTTTTTTTTCATTAAACATCAGTATTCAATCTCTTTCTAACAATTTTTTCTTTTTTTCTTTGATTTTTACTAATTTATCCAACCATTTTCTCATATAATATTATTTAGATGTTTTCATTTATCGTCATTTTGCAACATATATTCCATCAAATTGCACTTTCATAACTGGTGGCGGTGGTTATAGTACAGATTTTAATCGACGTAAATTGAAACGTATTGCTAATGATATGGGTTTTGTACATGTCGATATAACTAACATGGGTTCTACTTGGTTTGTTTCAATATTTTTCCTCTTTTTAATAATATTATTCTTTTCTTCATGTAAAGGTATGGTTCACCATATGATGCATATTTAGTTGCTAATCAAACACTATATGGTATGCTATGGTTAGCACATTATGAATTTGCTATGCCAGAAAGAGAGTCTAAATTAGGAACATTAATGTGGCCTGAATGGTAAATATTTTTTTATGAAATCAACTAAAATACATATACTTTTCTAGGCATTTTGGTGTTTTACTTTTATATGGTCAACATTTAGCGCTAAACCATTTAGTTGGTATAAATCAAATTCGACTACGAATGGGTCAAGATCTTCTTGATTTATCATCAACAGATGATAGAGTGGAATATGTTCAACAAAGGATACGTCTTAATTTACATTGTTGGCATACAGATTTACCTTTTTCAAAATTTGCTTTTAAAATGGGTAAATATAATCAAACTGACTTAGAAAAATATAAAAATGATACTACTGCTCAAGCTTATGTAAGAACAAGAGTGAATGTAGAGTGAGAGAGAGAGATGCTAAAAATGTCTATTTTTCACTTGTATTATAGGCAATGCGTATGGCACTTGAATCAAAGTATATGACACTTGAAGAATTGGCTGCATATGGAAGAAATAAATCTTTGTCATCTTAAAACATATTAAACTTTTATCATCATCTATTGAATAGTTGCAATAAGATTCGAACTATATCGTATTATAAAAAGTTATTTTGGTTTTTATTTATTCATAATGCAGAGACAACTTTAAAGAGTTTCAGAATAACAGAGTTTCATGTTTATTCAATTGCAAGAGAAGATATTTTTGTGAACAAATAAATATATTCGTATTGTAGTATGATTTTTTTATGTTGTTGAGACTGAGGCTCTCGATTTTATTTCGAGAATGAAGAAGGTAGAGAATAACAAAATTATGTCAGAAACTCATTTCTCTCAGAATCTTTTATGTTCAGCTCGTTGGAATTTCTTACGATCGTCCACGCGCGAGCATTTGTTCCAGTTTCCTGGGTTAAAAAACTTTTCTTTGAAATTTTTTCCTATACTTAAATCCTATTATAAATTTATTGTCCGATATACAATATGATAATGGTTATAGTCGTTCATGTTTTGTTTGGATAGTTTCTTCAGTCATCGTGTGTTTTTGACAAGTATGACTTTTCGAATTCTTTTTCTGCCATCCAGTTATCATAATCCAGACAAATTAGTTTCATAGATACTGTAATGATGGTCATGCATGAGCGGACAATAATCAAATATGAATATATGAATGAATTGCATAATAATTGTACCGTTGTATTCTTAAATGTAAAAGTTCAACATCTCCAGTCCCTTTCAATCAACTCCTATGATTTGTTTCAGATGAGACTCCTTCGAAAGTTCCCACTACCATATAAAACAATCACGACTTTATCTCAAACTAGTCCCGAAATATTATAGACATAAGGCAAAAAAGATTGAATATATAGTACATTGTCTACACATCTAGATTACAAGACTGATTGGTGCTTACATCACAATTTTCCTTATAGATTTTTATAAAGATCATGTGTATGATCATTATTCAATTTTGTCTCATGTCAGATTTAAAATTTGGCTGTATGATTGAGCTATTCATGTAAAAATGGCCGGAGTAGTAGTTTAAAATGAAAGCCAATAAGAGATGTGGAGATAAAATTATTAACAAAGGTGAATAAATTGAATTGTTTCTAGTCAAGAAAAAGTCTGAAACAAAAGCTTAAAAGATCGATTGTCAACGTAGCAAGGAAATATAATTAAAGACTCAAGCCGTATAGGTCGTTTCTTTTGGTCATAAGTAGACATCGATAAGGTACGAAAAACCTAAAGAAGATTCATTTCACCACGCCTTTCTTGCCGATATATGGCTGTTTGACTGAGTCTTCGGTTAAAGACACCGTACTTTGGAAAGAATCAAATGAATGAATATTAATCAAACTTTTGCCTATAAATAAGTATAATGATTCGTAGTATATCTCTAGCATTTCAGTCAAGATTGATGCTCCCTTAGCGAGATATTGTGTTTTAAGATGATCTCGACTTTAGAATATCCTCTCAAAATATGGGTGTTCATTGAAATTCTCGTAGATTCCTATAGAAGCATTCATTTAGACTGAAACATTAGAGATATTCTACGAATCACTGTAACTATATATAGACAAAAGTTTAGATAAAAATTCATTCATTTAATTTTTCTCGAAGTATCGTGTCTTTGACCGAACACCCAGTGAAACGGTCATATCTTGGGAACAAGGGCAGGAGGGAATAAATCTTTTTCAGATTTTTCATACCTCAACGATGTCTACTTATGGCTGAAAGATAGGAGCTAAACTGCTTGAACCCCTAAGTATGTTTCCTCGTTAGTTATGGCGATACAATACTATAATTGTTGAGTTTGTTTTTATATATATCTTTTCAAAACTTCATTAAACTGTTCGATTTTGTAATCTCTATGGTCGATATCAAAGGATTAAAAATAGATCTTTTCATCTCATTTTCTTGTTTTCTGTTGAAATAGTATTAATAAAACTAATTAGTTTCTTCTACATGATCCAGGTCAAACAGTGCCATTATGAGATCTTGCGCCATTCTTACAGGATCATATAGAAAGTTATGATATGACTTCTCATAATCATACAAAACTGTATGATAATCCACTAGGATTTTTAATGCCAATCTTAAAGACACTACTGCCGATGAAGTCGTTCTTTACGATTCTTGTATGACCAATGCATTATATTTTCAGAGTTTCTGACAACGTTGCAATCCGATGATGAGATCTGCTCTGAAGATCTTGCGTCTGATTTTTTGACCTGGCCTAGTATTCTTTCACTTGATTAAAAATCAAATTTATTCAGTTTATTTTTACTAAAAATTTAATTTTATCTGTGGCATACATATGTATTCAGATAAATAAATAAATAAATATAGATGAATAGAACAGCAGTACAAATCTGTTGCGTTTTATTTTTCTTTACTTAAATTAATCCAATATTGTTTGGTTCTTACTTTCAGTTACCGTCTTTGATCAATATGGTGTCGAATATACTACTTTTTGCGATATTTTATTGAAATTTTTCCTAAAGTATTTTTTATAATAAAAGCAGCACAATTGTAAAAAAAATAGCAAGACGTACGTCAAGTATATGTTTTAAAATTTTTGAATGATACGAAAGTGTGATGAAACATTATGACAGTTTACCATTGAATAGTAATACCACGATTTTGAATTGATACCACTGATAAAAAAGCAAAACTCTGTATACCTTTGGCTACTTTCAGTTAATGACCAATTTTTCTAAGAAACATTTTATGCAACAAAAACACAAAAGGCATTTTCAAGTTCAGATAGAGAAAAGCTCGCTTACAAAAACTATTTTACTTTCTGTATATTTTCCATAGACTCTTATTACGTAAAATATTATTCAAGGACTGCTCAAACTAGAAACAGTTCTCCTAATAAAAACAAGGTCTTTCACTCGAAAACTATCACTATTTATGCAGTTAATTTTCAAGATAATTGAATGATTTTAGTATTATTGGATTCAGAAGATATTTCTCTTGTCGATAATATGAAATATTTACAAGTTCCTTGAGAAATAGCTTGAAGAAAAATATTTACGTCTCTGCAAAGGCTGTTAGAATTACTAAGATTGCGTACAATTATAGAGACAAATATAAAACGAAAAAAAAGAAAGAATTCAATCTTTTGACACAATCGAAATCTTCTATGTTGGACGTGGGTCACTCAAAAAGGCTCAACGAGTCTAGAACGAATAAAAAAACGAACAAATAACACAGCATTATCGAATAATTACAGTGCAAGATATTTATCTTATAAATAAGACTCACTGTGTTAATCATCGCTTATTTTCTTCTCCTTTATTCATTCATTTCATGCATCATCGATCATTAATATTTATTCTCGTCCAAACAACGCTTATAGGGCAATTCGAGTCATTCTGTATACAATATACATTGACCTTGACAACACACAACTATTATTTCTTTTTTTTTTTGTAATACAATGTCTAAAAAGTGGCTAAAGAAAAAATCAAGTGAGTTCAAATTTAACCAGGTGTTTCATTCATGTTGTATGAAAGCAATGAATCGAGAGAGAGAGAGCAGAAATGATTCCATTCTATCACCCACCTACACCAGCATGCTTATCGTCAAATGAAAAAGAATAACTTAATGAAATTATACATACATAGCAAATTGTAGTTTCGATATGAGAAAATATGAACAAGAGAGAAAATAAACATATATATTTTAACATCCTTAAATACTAAAACAATAGATATGAGACAGACTATAGAACTTTCCCCAGTTCTAGACGAAATTAATTTCAAACCTTTTATAAATCCCTGTCAGCTATCTCGACAACATTTTCACCTTTATCTATGATCATGAGGTCATAAAACTTATTTTTTGAAAGTTTTAGCTTCAGAACTATGCTAGTCATTGCTAGTATTTTACCTTTTTGAGCAGTGTCCATCCATTTCAAAAATATAAATAATAGCATATGTTGTGAAGAAATATATTCTCCACAAAATAGTCTAATAAAACTGTTGCTGTACAATGTACAGTACTGCTTTTATTCATCGAAAGTACTAAATCTTCGTTGTTTAATAAAGAGTTTGCTAAGTTTGTGGATCCATACATATCATTATTTAGCAATGAGGAGTACGAAAGTCCTGTTCAATTTTATTCTCTTTTTAAAAAATGATCTTGTCCAAAACAATCACGTGAAATACAGACGAGAAGGAAGTAAATCTTGACAGAACCTTGTTTTAGAAAATTAACGATAGTCGTTTATTTTTTACTATACTTGAAAAACAACAGTGACAAAAAATTTATGACAAAAGTTTCCACACGAATCTGGTCCTCATTCTTACATGGAAAATAAAACGAAATAATACTATTGCATTGTCTTCCTCAGAAGGGTGTTAAGCAACAAGCGATATAAGATGGAATAGAATGATGATAGTTATGTCTCTTTAGATTGGATCTTCTCAGAAATCATCAAATAATTATGTAATGACTTATCTAGATTTCACTTGAAATGTTCTATCAGCATTAAAGAAAAACATATTTAAATAGGTCATCTTTATTTCAAGGAAACTCAAAGCTTGATAATTCACAATAACAAATATGGCTATTCTGATCGATCGAGGATGTGTAGGTCTTGAAGAAAGTTAATAGAAGCTTTTTTCTTTGTTCTAAGATTTAATAGTGGAATCATTGTGGAAAGAACCAATATAATTCCGCTAGAAGTGTGCTTTTTCAATATCGATTCTTTATTAATGGCGTAAAAAGATCTCTTTAGACTCGAAATAAGCTATTTCTTTTCCTTTTAATGTTTAGTTCGCACACACCGTGTCACATTACGTTTGATCCTATTAATTATTGGAATATGTATCTGCTGTATTCTATTAATATTCACAATAAGTAACTTCGGTAATGATACTCATCAAATAGAACCAGAACCAGTTAAATGTGATTGTTCATTAACACAAAATTCATTTTCTCAAACAATTCCATCAGTATCAAATATTACTCCAAACAAACCCATATTAAAACCATGTAAACCAATTAAAAAAACTTCTCCTGTACAACGTGCCATTGTTATTTATTATCCAAGTCATCAAAGTGAATATTTTTTTCCAGAAGTCAAATGGTAAGCATAAACAAGACATAAATGTATAACTGATAAATAATAACAGACTTTTATTTTGAATCAAATCCTTTCGTCATAAAAATAATCGATTGGTCACTTTTCAGAATGATCTATTTTATTACTGATATCGAATTTTGCTTGCATGTAGAATACCAGATTTGTATTGATCGATATCCTTGTTTCAGTTTTTAGTGTTCTTTATCTTAGTGAAACCTTTCCTCTTTTTTTTTGAGATATGATATGTTAGGTTTTTTCTGTCATTAAGGCTTTATCGTTCATGGGTTGAAATGTTACTTGGTGAACCATCAACATGGCGAACAGATCTTGTGATATTTACATATAATTTTTCGAGTGAATTTCGAAGACTTGGTTGTGTTAATCGTCTTCGTCAAAATAAACAAGAACCATCTATGTGTCGACTTTTTCTCTATGTGCCAATACAGTTTCGAACAAAAAATATTACGGATAACGATTTTCAACATGCATTTGATGATGCAAAACGTGTCATAGAATCATATAAAGATATGAATGACTCATTTATTGGTGTACCATTAGTAAATGATAAAGAAACATTTGATGCAAAACGTTCAGAATC